ACCTTCCTAATGCCGCGACCCTTTAATACAGTTCCTCATTTTGTGGTGACCCCCAATTTCATTGTTACAAATTGAACATAATTAAAGCATAGCGATTAATCACAAAACAATATGTAATTATATATGTGTTTTCCGATGGTCTTAGGCGACCCCTGTGAAAGGGTCATTCAACCCCCAAAGGGGTCGTGACCCACGGGTTGAGAGCCACTGCCCCAGAGGGATGAATGGAAAACACCCACCCACCCCCTATTGTATTTTAGTAAAAGTTTTTTGTTTGTTGGTTGTTTTTTTTGTTGTTGTTAATCCTCACCCGAGGATATTTTTCCATTGATTTTTAGAGAGAGTGGAAGGGAGGGGGAGAGGCAGAGATATACATCGATGTGGGAGAGACATTGATTAGTGGCCTCCCACACACACCCTGACCAGGGCTTGAGATCGAGCCTACAACTAGGTACATGCCCTTGACCAGACTTGAACCCAGGACCCTTCAGTTTGCAAGCGAACACTCTATCCACTGAGCCAAACTGGCCAGGGTTTAGTAAAAGTTTGAATGCCGTGGATAAATTAAAAAGAAACTGAACTTCCCAACACACTAAGTTATCTACAAATAAAATCAAATAAATCTAACATCAGATTTGTCCATTTTAGCATTAGAAACTAGACTTAAAACACATGCACTGAGCATTCATCTTTAAAATTTTATAAATACTCATAAACTAATAGGACTAAAATAGAGATAAAAGCCAACTAAATGAAACATAAAACAAAGAGAATGGAAGAAAAAACAAATGCTGACTCACTGAAAAGACCAATTAAATAAACTCTTTGCCTGCTTAAACAAGCAATACAGTAAGAGCAAAAACACAGGAGTAAATGTTGAAAAGAAGACTGAACTCCAAATAATGAGATAAATATGAAAAATGAGGGCCTATGGGTGACTGCCTTGAAGCATGTAAATAGTCTCAAATTGTTTTTTAAGAAGCAGTACAAAATCTGCAAAATCCTATAGGAAACATTTGAATGGTAATAACTGAAATTAAAATGAGAATGTAAGTGGGAGTAGATGACAGATACACTGATGGGGAGCATTGGAGTTTTTCAAGGACATTTGCTGTGAAGGTGACCAGAGAGATGGGTCAGTAGCTGGAGGGAAATACGGAGTGAAGGGAGAGCCGCTTAAGATGTATTTGCACGCTGCTGAGGGGGATGAGTAAAGGGCAACACTGATACAGGAGAGAGAAAGGGTATGCACAGGAATGAAGAACTGAGTAGGAAAGAGGCATGGGACTCTGGAGCCAGCAGGAGAGAAGGCATGGGGTATGATAGATGGGCCCAGGATGGGCAGGTTTCCCATGTAATGACTTCTACGTTTTACGTAAAACAGGAAGCAAGGCCGTCAGCTGAGCTTGGGGAGGGCTGACGAGAGCTGGAGGTGTGAAACAGTCATCTTATAGGGACAGTAAAGAGAATTTCTTAGTGAAATATAGGATTGCATTGTTTAATGTGCTTCTATAATGTATTTGTTAATATTTTACTTAGAATTTTTGCACTGGTTTTCACTGAGTGTTCAGTCTGTAGTTTTTGCTTAGGTTTTGTTATACTGGCTTCATTAAAATTACTTGGAGACCTTCCTTCTCAGGGCTATGGCACATTTTGAATAAAACTAGAGTTAACTGCTACCCACATGTACTGGTAACAGATATTGTTTGTTAAAGTTTCTGGGCCTGGTTATAAAACTTTGTCCTTTTCTTCTGGAATAAAAAGAAGTCTTTTTAATTTTTTTCTCTTATGGGATAATTTTCTATAATAGGAAATATATATATGTATATATATGTGTGTACATATATATATATTTTATATATATATATATATATATATATATATTATACAGAGCCTTATAATGAATAAGTATGAATACATATATTCATTCTTTCCATTATCATCTTGGTTTTTATTTATTTCACAGGTTCCTTCCGCTGCTTTTTATCTATAGTTGTATTCCTGTGCTTACTAGTATGTCTTACTTGGGCTTTCACACATTTCTAGGTTAGATAATGGATTATCTACTTGGTTGATTCTGTTTGTTTTTTTCCTACAAAACAACCCAGCTCTTGCATTTATTTTATATTTTGGTTTTCTTATTCAACCATTTCCATGTTTATCTTTACTGATTCAGTCTGCTTTCCTCAAACTGCTTTCATTTTATAACTGCTGTGTTTGGATACTTAACTCATTTATTTTATTTTGTGGCTAATGCAATGTGCACTGAAGGCTGTGCACAAATAGAAGATTCAGGACAAGATGGGCTTCGCTTTTCTGAAACCCCCTCCAGAGAAAGAGATTTGGCAAGGGCCCAGGACTCAGGCCATGGCCAGCTCTTGCTTGAGGGACTGGAATAAAAGTGGACACAGTCCTGCAGCCAGGACACAGGCTGTGATCTGTAGGGTTCCTGAGAGCCCAGAGCCCCAAGCCATCACCCTAAAACTTAACTGATCCTGCCCTTGGGGGCTCCCGGCCCCCATTTACAACATTCAGAAAACCAGATACCAACATATAGATTCAAGGGAGGAATCAACCTTCCCATCCAAGATGAGCTTGTGCATTAAAATTTTAAAGCACTCAAAGAAAACGATGCCAGTTTAGCTCACAAAGGTAAAAAGCAAGAGAATTCACTCCAGTGAATCTAAAAATAACTTTGAAATAAATGTGTGGGGTTTTTGTTTTTTTTTCCAGAGAGAACCCAGTGTGTAGTATTTATAAAGACCAACCCTTCTTACTATTAATCAAGAGCATGTAGGAATGAAAGGACCAATTAGAAATCCTGGAAATATAAAACGAAAAATTATGAAAGAAATTTCTTTCAAGATTAGTAAGTGGGAAATTCCAGGGAGGACACAGTTAAGGAAAGAATTAGTAAATGTGAAGATTGTGTTGGAGAATTTGCTTTGAACAAAGCAAGATAAGATGTAAATGTGAAAAACAAGAGTTAAAAATAGGATGGCAGGATGAGAAACTTCAACCTAAAATATTTGAGATGTTGATGACTGAGCATTTCCCAACATTGAAGACTCCACAGCAGTATAACTAAATAAGAGCCACACATAGACACACCATATTGAGTTTAATTGACAGAACCAGGAGAAAGAAAGTTATAAGAGAGAAAAGACAGACTACCGACAGAGGACCGACCAATGACAGGCGTACTCCCACCCACAGCAATAGCAGCCTAAAGACTAAGGGATATCTTCACAAAGTTTTAAGACACAAGCTGTAAGTATAGACATTCTGTATCTTAATCACTACCATTCAAGAGTGAGGGCAAACCATCAGCAGATGAACGGATTAGAAAACTGTGGTACATCTACACAGTGGAATACTATGCTGCTGTAAAAAAGAAGGAATTCTTACCATTTGCAACAGCATGGATGGAACTGGAGAGCATTATGCTAAGTGAAATAAGCCAGTCAATGAAAGAAAACTACCACATGATCTCACTCATTTATGGATAATAAAGACCATTATAAACTGATGAACAAAAATAGATACAGAGGCAGAGCAGCATCGAACAGACTGTCAAAGTACAGTGGGAAGGCTGGGGAGGGTTGGGGGGCTGGAGGGGGGGTAAGAGATCAACCGAAGGACTTGTATGCATGCATATAAGCATAACCAATGGACATAAGACATTGGGGGGTAGGGGAGGCTGGGGGAATGTCAAGGGGGCGGGGGAGGGAGACATATGTAATACTCTTTGTAATACTTTAAGCAATAAAATTGAAAAAAAAAAGAGTGAGGGCAAAAAGAAGGTATTTTCAGACATTCAAAGGCAGATAACTTAGTCCTAACAAATCATTGTTTAAAAAAAAACACCCAAAATACTTACTTTCTTTAATAAATATTTTTATTTCAGAGCGGAAGGGAGAGGGAGAGAAAGATAGAATGAGGAGAGAGAATCATTGATCGGCTGCCTCCTGCACACCCCCTACTGGGGATCGAGCCTGCAACCCAGGCATGCTCCCTGCCCGGGAATCGACCTGTAACCTCCTTTTTCCTGGGTCAATGCTCAAACACTGAGCCACACTGGCCAGGCACCGTGATCAATTTTAAAACACTTTCATCACCCCCAAAAGAAATGTCCTGCTCAGTAGCTGTCTCCACTCATTTCATCCCCACCCCAGGCAATGACTAGTCTACTTTGTCTCTATAAATTTGCCTGTGCGGGACATTTCATAGGAATGGAATAATGGTATGTGGTCTTTTGGAACTGTCTTCTTTCCCTTAGCATAATGTTTTCAAGGTTCATCCGTGTTGTTGTGTGTTACCTTGCCTTTTAATAAGGCTCTTTATGAGATCTCAGGTGCCTTGTTAACACCCTGCTTACTTTTCTGTCCTCATATTAGTCTGTTCTCTCCCTCATCTGCAGGGTTCCCCTTTACACACAGAGCGGCTTAGGCCCTCTGCACTGGGATAAGGTCCCAAAGGTGGTGTAGACCAGTGAAAAAGCGGATTTGATTAAGAAATAGGGTCAATGGGCAATGCATTTGTTATTCCAGTGTTTCCCAATAAAGCCTTCCTTTATTCTGAACAAGGGTTTTTTAAACTGCTTGCCTCTAATGCAGTGGTTCTCAACCTTCTGGCCCTTTAAATACAGTTCCTCATGTTGTGACCCAACCATAAAATGATTTTCGTTGCTACTTCATAACTGTAATGTTGCTACTGTTATGAATCGTAATGTAAATATCTGATATTCAGGATGGCCTTAGGCGACCCCTGTGAAAGGGTCGTTCTACCGCCAAAGGGGTCGTGACCCACAGGTTGAGAACCTCTGTTAATGCAATCAATACCTGCCAGTTTTATCTTTGGTTAAAATGGGCTCTGGATTTTCTGGGATAATCCCAGTTTGCAGAGCTTCTGCCCCGTGCCTCCTTCACACTCTAAGATTCGATGGCCCACCTTCCGGTTTGGAAGACATTGTCACCACATGGTTGTTCTCTTCTCTCCAGGAGAGTGAAGAGGAACTGTACTCTTCCTGTCGCCAGCTGCGGAGGCGGCAAGAAGAGCTGAACAACCAGCTCTTCCTATATGACACACACCAGAACTTGCGCAATGCCAACCGGGATGCCCTCGTTAAAGAGTTCAATGTCAACGAGAACCAGCTCCATCTGTACCAGGAGAAGTGCAACCGGAGGTAGGTCACCTCTTCCCACCTGCAGACCCTCAGATCTCACTCCTCCCAGCACAGTGACATTGGGCACCTGGGGCCAGGCTTCAGGAAGGCGCCATCGTCTTTAGAAATCCTTTGACTGGTACCCTTGACTCTAGCTCTCTTTGCTCAATAACTGAACTTTCAGTAGTATCCTAGGTATCTGCACCTTCCCTAAGTGGAACTATCATCATTGGGAGGACATTTCAAGATAATAGTGAAAATAAACAATGACCACTACCTTTTAAAGAGACCCTATCAAGTTCTCAAGAATGGGCTAGCCCAGGGGCTCTAAGTCAGGGCAGAACCCCCTCCAAGTGACGCTTTTGGTTGTGCTGCAGACATATAATGGGGGTGAGACAGCCAGGTGTGCCCAGTGTCCTGCAGTGTGCTAGATAGTCCTGCTTAACAAGGCATTATCTGCCCTGGCCAGGTAGCTCAGTTGGTTAGAGTGTCTTCCCAATATACCAACATTGTGGGTTTGATCCCCGGTCAAGACACATACCAGAATCAATGACAGTAAGGGGGCGAGGGCATGTGTTGGGGGGCAGGAGCAGCCGGGGAGAGGTCAATGGGGGAAAAGGGAGACAAATATAATACTTTCAACATTAAAGAATTTAAATTTAAAAAAAGATTCAATGAATGCATAAATAAGTGGAACAACAAACCAATGTTTCTCTCTCTCGCATCAAGAAATAAAATTTTAAAAAGCACTGGCTCCCCAAAATTCCTATAGCAGCCTCCAATGGGAATCAGAGTGTAAACTCCTTACCCATATTATTCTCATTTCATCTTTACTTCAACCAGCAAGTAGCAGTGACCTCAATGCAATGACCAGTGAGGAAATTGAGACTCAGAGAGATTAAAAAATCTTGCCAGGAAGCCTCCTCCCCGATTCTCAGCCCTGTACCACGCCACCAAGAGTGACCTGCAGTTGTGCGTTACAAAGCACATGGCCTGTGCCTCAGCCTAGTGGGTGATGGTGAAATCTGTTTTATTTCAGGTTAAGAGAGAAGAGAGTCAGCAACAGCAAGTTTTACTCATAGAAGCCGGGGTGCGTGTGTAAGGGTGTTGTGTGTGTGCATGTGTTTGCATGTAGAAGAATGTGCTGTATTCAGACCATGGGGTCATGCTAACCTGGGACGTCATCCTCTACAATCAAGATGACATTCCTGAAGAAGGCCCAGTCAGCATGAGCTGAGTGATTTCCTCTTAATTTTTTCGTCTTGGACAATTTCTTAACTTATAATTCTCTTTAGAGGATCCCAAAATCACATTCCTCGTCTTTGGCCGCTTGTGTTCCAAACCTCATTGAATAAAAGCAGTGAAAATCTCAAACAGTTAGACCTTCCATGCATGACCTGCACAGGGAGCAGGATTCCTTTTCTGGCCTCTAAAGACCCAGGTAATTGACTTCCACAGGAGATGAGCCCGCAATGTAAGGAACGAATAAATTAGCTTTGGAAAGGATTTTAACTACAAGGCAAACGATTCTACAATTAAGGCCATTGGATTTCACCGGGGCCCAGAGAGGAGCCCTGCCCCTGACTGCCACATCTGCCCAGCTTCCCTGCCCCGGGTCAGTGGACTCAGCTCAATGCACTTTAACTACCACTGGCTGGCTAGCTGGCTAGACAGGCCTGCTATGGTGCCTGAGTCCCTGGACTCTCTGTTCATTAAGACAGTTTCTAGTTAAAGGCAGAGATTTACTTTGTGACTGGAGTTATTGGGGGTGGGAGGTGGAAATCTTGGAGCCGCTGATTTAAAAAGCCTGTTAACAACCAGAGACCCAGCAAAGGCTCAGCCAGCTTCTTACTCCTGCTCTGCCCACTCCTGAGCTGGCTGCGTGACCCTGGGGGAGGCTTTGGGTCTGCAGCTCCCACAGACAAGAGGCCAATTCACTGACTGGAGGAGGTGGTGCAAGTTAGGCTCCATGGGGCAGTTTCTCGGTTTTCTGACGCAGCAGGCCGAGTCTTGTGGCTTAAGCACTAGAAAGGTACAGAAAAGCTCAAAAGCAGCCACCCCGGAGCCTCAGACCCACCTGGGACCAGATGACACTCCTCTGCAGCTTGCGATACAGTTTAATGATGTGTAGTGTGATGACCTCACGAGGCTTTTTAAGGATGAGGTTAGTGGTTGGGGGAGTGGTCAGTAGAGTCACAAATTACTCAAAGTGAACTGAGAAACGACTTAGAGGGAAAAAGGTGTAACCGTGAAAATGATTGTGGCGGCAGGAACAAACAGCAAGCGGTAAGACTGGTGGCTTTACTGGGATGAAACTGGGTCCTAGAAGCGCATTGAGCCCTCCCCTAGTTATCCTGGGCTTAGGTGCATGTATTGCTGACAAGTACATTAAAACCAGCCAGGCTCTCTCTGATCAAAAGACCTTATTCCTTCATTCCACAAAAATTTCTTGAGCACCACCATATGCCAAACACTATGCCAAGGTCTGGGGATACAATGTTTAACAAAAATTTTTTTTTAAAAAAATAAAAAAGCCATGGTTACTGGTCTTATGGTTATATATGCTTCTAAAAGAAATGCATTTTACCTTCTAGGAAGCAAGGAGAATAGATAATAGCAGTCTGACCAAGGGGGGGCTCTTACTTTGTGACATTATTTTAGTTATTCCTTGAATTGGGAATTGCTATTTATTTGGCAGCCAGTAACTGAGGGAAGACTATTCCTGATGGTAGCAGATGTTCAAAGCAACTTTCAGGAAAGGCTGGATGAAAAGGCACTGAGCCGAAGGCTGCCGGGAAGGAATTTACAGATTCTGCAGCCAGTGCCCCACTAGCCACCCCCGCCGCTACCCCCATACCTCTTCCGGCTCCATTATTACCTTACACAGTGGAGCTCAGATTTTGCTGTCTTTCACCTCTCTTTTCAGCTCAGGAGTGAGTAAAAGACATTAACCTTCGCACTTCACTCCATTTTAAAGCCAAAAAGCCAAGTAAGGCCTTTTTCTGCTTCAAATGAATGTCTTGCTACCATATCAAAGAAATTGAGAAGTGGTGGCAAAGAAAGCAGGAGATAAGCATCTTTCAGCTGTCACTGTGTAAAATCCACACCCAGCAACAAGTGCAACGAAAGAAGAGGCAGGAGATGGGCGGGGGGGGGGGGGGGGGGCAGTGGGTGAGGGGGTTATACTATAAAGGTGCTGAGAAAAACTCGCGCCCTAAAACTGTCTCCTCCTTCTAGGTGCTATAATAACTTGAATCCACCATTAGAGAGTATTTGCTTTGGTTGCAACATTCTCTTAATAGGGTAACACATGAATCTGGATTCTTGGTGGTGGTTCGCTCAGGAAAGACACCGAAAGGGAAAGGGAAGGGTACAAATTACATCATTGCTCTTTCTAGAGTTTGCCCGGATGCCACAAAACCCAAGTCCTATAACATATCTAGCTGGGATTATGATTTAACAGTAATATGTTAAACACAGTTAATTCAGACCAAGCAGACGAAGACAAGAATATCCTAAAATACGGCAGCAGCATTGACGGACCAAAACCATGATTATGTATGTTGTTAAATTGTTTTTGTCCATCATTTCTCTAAGGGTATTACTGAGGCATCAGTTATTACATCAAAAAATGAAGGGGGAGGCTGGTTAAATCATTTGAGTTTGGAAAATTTAGGTTATACAAAGCTAAATTTTTTTTTTTTTCTGTAAAATTTGGGTATTCTAATGTGCATAGTTAAGAGGGGTATAGAATATCACATTTCCCAAATTTGATCTCAGGAACCTTTTGCTAAGGAATATCTCATGGGACTAGTGTGTAGTGGAATGCATTAGAGGACTTGCTGCTCTATTAAGAAGGCAGCCAGGCATCATAATCTAATAATTTACAGTTGAACCTTAAACAACAAGGGAGTTAGGGCACCGACCTCCCCCCACATACACACACTGCGCAGTCAACTTTTTACTCCTCCAAAATTAAACTACTAATAGCCTATATTGACCAGAAGCCTTACCAATAACATAACTGATTAACACATTTTGTATGTTTTATATATACACACATATATATATATATATCAATGGTCTTTTTAAAAAATGTTTTTATTGATTTTAGAGAGAGAGGAAGGGAAAGGGAGAGATAGAAACCCTAACCCTGCACACCCCCTACTGGGGATTGACCCTGCAACCCAGGCATGTGCCCTGACTGGGAATCAAACTGGTGACCTCCTGGTTTCTGGGTTGATGCTCAACCACTGAGCTATATTGGGCAGGCAATGGTCTTTAAACTGGGCCAACCTTACCCCTAGTAGTCTACCGGAGCTTTCCAAAGAATACACAGGCTTGACTCACTTTAGGGGATCAATTCTCAGACCCTCACTCTTCTATTGCACAGTGTCATAAGAATCATCGGCCTGAGAAAAATGCCCTTTTCTCCCTCACAAAAGGAAACATATCTTTCTCCATCTTCAGTCTTACTGTAAAACATGACTCGGGTATAAAATTCAAAAATATGGGTGTTTAGACAGTGAAAGCTTCTTAATAGCAGGGTACAAATCCTTTTGCAAGTCTGATGGTTTCAACAAAACTGAAGGAACACCCAAGATTTCTGAATATTTAAAAAATGTAATTCTGGAGGAGTTGGAAGAATTCAGTTACCCTGCCATCACAAAACTCCTTCTGTTCCCATTTACTTACTGGTGTTAACATGGATTATACACTCTCATGTAGAAAACGTAAAAGGAGAATAGAATTGATGCTGGACCATGGCCATTCTAACAAAAATCATCTTAATCTACAGATGGATGAAATAATTGGGGGAATGGCGGCAGGAGAGGCCTTCCTCATCTCATTGAATGATAGATACATTGCCAATGGAATTTTACGGTTTAACAATTTATTAAAATTTTTACTATATTTGTTTATTACGTTCAATCCAGTGGAAAAATTTAAATACATAGAGCCTTATGATTACAGGCTATTATATAATTTTATAATAAAAAGGCCAAAAATAATTAAGCTAAAATTTTGAGGAGGGAATAGATTAAAAATACAAATTCAAGGAGTAAAAGGAAAAATGTGGCATTTCCTACTATTACAAATTGCTTTCTTCATGTAATTTTTGAAAGGATGACAAATATTGGGTTTAGAGCCACTTGGCCAAATTTAAAAAGGAATGTAACAGTTTTATTTAAAGATGTGATATCTACAATATGTCAGCACTTATATATCCTTTACAACTATTTAAGATGAAATTTTTAGACAAAAAAAAAAAATTCACTGAAGAGGTATCAGAGCATAAAATTTTAAGTTGTTCATCGAGGACCACTAAATGATGAGCTGTATTTGAAAGCAAGAAGAATGGCTAAAAAGGGCCTTAATACTTTTAACACTTAAAAGGAATGTAACTTAACTTTCAATTTGTAGGGCATTTAACTTTTTGGAGGCAACCCTAAAAGCCATATTCTAGCCAATAAAAAGTTAATAATTAGATTAAGAAATATGCAGAATTATAAAATTGGCATTTGAAAAATACTCAATGATTTGTCTCAGATTTTTAATTTTCAAAATATTTTCATCTTGAAGAGCCAGATTCCACCGTGATCCTGTCTCTCAGAAATTTCCATCTTTATTTTTCCTTAGGCTTTAAAAAGCTGCATTTGTAAACTTGTATTTCGTTATTAAAGCTTAATTTATTTCTATATAAATAGTGTGTGCTTGTGTGTACATAGAGAATTATGTGTATGAGTCACGCAAACGTTGGCTATTGTTAATGTGAAAATTAAATGGCTGTATCAGATTTTTAAAAAATAAAAATTTGGTCTGAATGAATGCAACAATCTGTCCAGAACTGTTTTGTTTTCTTTTTAAAACTGGTCACTTTTAGTTCCTACATAAAACAATAAAGAAATACTTCAGCCATGAGGTAGGCACAGTTATAATTCTTTTTTTTTTTTAAATATATTTTATTGCTTTTTTACAGAGAGAAGGGAGAGGGATAGAGAGTTAGAAACATCGATGAGAGAGAAACACCGATCAGCTGCCTCCTGCACATCCCCCACTGGGGAAGTGCCCGCAACCCAGGTACATGCCCTTGACCGGAATCGAACCTGGGACCCTTCAGTCCGCAGGCCGACGCTCTATCCACTGAGCCAAACCGGTTTCGGCAAATTCTTTTTTTTTTTTTTTTTCAATACGTTTTTCTCTCCTGTCAGTTCCAAGAACTGATGTAAGATCATCTTCTGACCATAATGAACTGGTGAGGCCCGCTGTTCCCTCCAGCTGAGTCTGGTGTACACCTCATCACTGAGTCAAGCTTGCTCAGTGTTTAAGTCTGTGGCATAGGTTTACAGGGCCAACAGAACATTGTCCTGAAGCTGTCTCCATGGTTCTTCAAGCCTGAGGATATTTGTGATTGTCAGGCTGCCCTCATTCCTTTTATCTCCCCATCCATCCTGGTCTTTGAACTCTCTGAACTCCTTAGCAGGCACGTACAAGACCTTGGGTGTGGTGGTCAGTGCCTCTTCAGTCAACTGATAGGTTAAGCCAGTGGTCAGCAAACTCATTAAATGTCAACAGAGCCAAATATCAACAGCACAACGATTGAAATTTCTTTTGAGAGCCAAATTTTTTACACTTAAACTATATAGGTAGGTACATTGTTATTAACTTAATTAGGGTACTCCTAACCTGGCCTTTGCTAAAAACGTCCTCAATCTGAGGGGTCGACCTCAGCGAACATACCCCCACTTCTTCTAACGCCACTTCTTCAAAATAGACTCGCCCAGGCTGAAAACCGACTTCTGCGCATGGGCCATGAAGTTTCAATCACACTGTACGTGCGCGCCCACACGTGGTATTTTGTGGAAGAAACACACTCAAGAGGCCAAGGAGCCGCATGTGGCTCTCGAGCCACGGTTTGCTGACCACTGGGTTAAGCTAAGTGGGTTCCTTGTTGCCTGAAGGAACGTCCATGAGAAGAACTTTATTCTAAGCTGATATTCACTGATGCTGGAAGAGAAGGGAGATTTGGATCTTTTGTGTTTCTTTTCTTATTAAATACCAACAGGAAAAGGAGCAAAGGTGTTCTGTACGGAGGAGCTCTGAGATAAAGGGACATACGTAAGGAATGGGAACACCAGGCGGGAACCACTGCTAACTGTCACCAAGACGAAGACACTTTCCTTTTTTCAGTTATTTTTTTAAGTGTTTTTCTATCCTCTTACACTTTTCTGTAGGTTAAGGGTCAATCTTACTTTCAGCAAAAACTCATTCTATGTAGAAACCTAAGTTTACAAAATTAATATGTGACTATTGTTTAATTCATCATTGGATTAAACATTGGAAGAATGTTTGGTGCCAGAGGAGCAATGAGGGTATTGTAAGGGCCTGTGTTTCTCAGGTAACTGAGAGGCATGCCAGAACCGTCAATCACTGTGTTTTGACAAAAATCCCAGGTGCACAGGAAGCCATGTTGTGTTATGACTGTCCCACCCCCAACCTCAGCCACCGGTGATTGGATTAGTTGCCCTAGTCCAGAAATTTTACAACAGCCTATGTATG